TTTTCACAGTTCCAGACAAGCGGGTTAAAATGAGTCCCCCTAGAAGGAATTAAAGCGATTCCATATATCCCAGCATCCTTTGGGAGCCACAGCCTTGATTGCAACACGTACCGAAAATGAACTCCATGTTGTCAAGCTCTTCCAGGGAGGTGGGGGTCTTAAAAGAAAACAAAGCCGCTCTTCTGCTCAAACGCTGGAGCTCCCCAGATCCAATTATCTCCTCCCCGGCCCCTCCTCTCCTCCTTTCTCAAGCAGCATTGGAGCGCTGTTCTCTGCTCCGGCAGTATCTTCAAAAGCAATGGGCTCTCTCTCTGCTCCCCTCTCCTGCAAACACCCCGTTGCGGTGTCTGCAGAAAACCGAGGTTCCTCTTAAGATGCCTGATGAGAATCCCTTTTCTTTGCTATTGTGACACAAATCACATCCTGACGGGGGCTTCCGTGCTCGCAGACGATTCTTCTGCTGTTAGGCCCGGAGAAGAACAGACCACGGGGTTGGGGGGAACCGTTTGCAGAGGTGGATTATGAACCTCAAAAGCTGCCTGCCTTCCAGAATGATTAAAAAGATGTGGGAAAGCCAGGAAGAGAAGGGGTGGCCTTTCTTTTTAACGAGGGATGGTGAGCCATGCAAAACAAACATGCTTCTGCTGTCCTAAGCAAAGTTACAACCTTCTAAGCCCATTGAACAGGTGTCAGTCTTCATAGAATCATAGAATGTTAGAGTTGGAAGGGAGCTTGCAGGTCATCTAGTCCAACCCCCTGCACTCTGCAACTGTGGTCTCGAGAAGCTTGCTGTGTTAAAAGTGGAGCCATGTGGCATAGCGTGTGTTGTGTGGTAAGAGATCACTGTTTGACATGTATCGTAGGAAGGGGAACCATGTTCTTACAAAGTTGGACAGCATTTTTCACAGGGGCTTGCAAATAGTTCTCTGCAAGAGGAATGTGACACTGTCTAACCATCTCATCCTTTGCCGTCCCCGTCTTCTTTGACCTTCAATCTTTCCCAGCATCAGGGTCTTCTCCAGTGAGTGCTCCCTTCTCATTTGGTGGCCAAAGTATTTGAGCTTCAGTTTCATTATCTGGCCTTCCAGGGAACAGTCAGGGTTGATTTCTTTGAGGATTGACTGATTTGTTCTTCTTGCAGTCCAAGGGACTCTCAAGAGTCTTCTCCAGCACCATAGTTCAAAAGAATCTATTCTTCGGCGCTCGGCCTTCCTTATAGTCCAGCTCTCGCAGCCATACATGACTACTGGGAATACCATTGCTTTGACCATGCGGACTTTTGTTGGCAGGGTGATGTCTCTACTTTTTATCATGCTGTTTAGGTTCGCCATCGCTTTCCTCCCAAGGAGCAGGCGTCTTTTAATTTCATGGCTGCAGTCACAGTCTGCGGTGATCTGGGATCCCAGGAACGTGAAGTCTGTCACTACTTCCACGACTTCCCCTTCTATTTGCCAAGGAGTGATGGGGCCGGATGCCATGATCTTAGTTTTTTTGATGTTGAGCTTCAAGCCCACTTTTGCGCTCTCCTCTTTTACTCTGAGCAAGAGGCTCTTTAGATCCTCTTCACTTTCAGCCATTAGAGTGGTATCATCTGCATATCTGAGGTTGTTGATCTTTTCCCCAGCAATCTTAATTCCCGCTTGTGATTCATCCAGGCCAGCATTTCGCATGATGTACTCTGCATATATATTAAATAAGCAAGGTGACAGTATACATCCTTGTCGTACTCCTTTTCCTATGCTGAACCAATCAGTTGTTCCGTATCCGGTTCTAACTGTCGCTTCTTGGCCCTTATACAGGTTTCTCAAGAGACATGTGAGGTGGTCTGGTACTCCCATCTCTTTAAGGACCTGCCATAGTTTGTTGTGATCCACACAGTCAAAGGCTTTAGCATAGTCAATGAAGCAGAAGTAGATATTTTTCTGGTACTCTCTTGCTTTCTCCATAATCCAGCGAATGTTGGCAATATGATCTCTCGTTCCTCTACCTCTTCGAAACCCAGCTTGTACTTCTGGTAGTTCTCTATCCACGTACTGTTGAAGCCTAGCTTGTAGGATCTTGAGCATGACCTTGCTAGCGTGTGATATGAGTGCAATTGTGCGATAGTTTGAACATTCCTTGGCATTGCCCTTCTTTGGGATTGGAATGTATACTGATCTTTTCCAATCCTGTGGCCACTGTTGCGTTTTCCAAATTTGCTGGCAAATGGAGTGCAGAACTTTAACAGCATCATCTTCTAAGACTTTGAATAGCTCAGCTGGAATACCATCACCTCCACTAGCTTTGTTGTTAGTAATGCTTTCTAAGGCCCATTTAACTTCACATTCCAGGATGTCTGGCTCAAGGTCAGTGATTATACCGTCGTGTTTGTCAAGGACATTGAGGTCTTTCTTGTATAGTTCTTCTGTGTATTCTTGCCATCTTTTCCTAATCTCTTCTGCTTCTGTTAGGTCCCTACCGTTTTTGTCCTTTATCATGGCCAGCTTTGCATGGAACGCTCCCTTGATTTCTCCAATTTTCTTGAAGAGATCTCTAGTCCTTCCCATTCTATTGTTTTCTTCTATTACTTTGCACTGTTCATTCAGGAAGGCCTCCTTATCTCTCCTTGCTGTTCTCTGGAAATCTGCGTTCAGTTGGGTAAATCTTTCCTTTTCGCCTTTGCCTTTCGCTTTCCTTCTTTCCTCTGCTATTTGTAAAGCCTCATCAGAAAGCCATTTTGCTTTCTTGCATTTCTTTTTCTTTGGTATGGTGGTGATTGCTGCCTCCTGTACGATGTCACGAACCTCTGTCCATAGTTCTTCAGGCACTCTATCTATCAAATCCAGACCCTTGAATCTATTCTTCACCTCTACTGTATATTCATCAGGGATGCGATCTAGGTCAAACCTGAATGGCCTCGTGGTTTTCCCAATTTTCTTCAGTTTAAGTCTGAATTTTGCAATGAGTAGCTCATGATCTGAACCACAGTCAGCTCCAGGTCTTGTTTTTACTGACTGGATAGAGCTTCTCCATCTTTGACTGCAAATTATATAGTCAATCTGATTTCGGTGTTGCCCATCTGGTGATGTCCATGTGTAGAGTCGCCTCTTAGGTTGTTGGAAAAGGGTGTTCGCTATGACCAGTGTGTTCTCTTGACAAAACTCTGTTAACCTTTGCCCTGCTTCATTTTGCTTTCCAAGGCCAAACTTGTCTGTTATTCCGGTTACCTTTTGACTTCCTACTTTAGCATTCCAGTCCCCTATGATGATGAGGACATCATTTTTTGGTGTTAGTTCTAGGAGGTGTTGTAGGTCTTCATAGAACCGGTCCACTTCAGCCTCTTCTGCATCAGTGGTTGGGGCATAGACTTGGATTACTGTGATGTTGAATGGTTTGCCTTGGAATCGGACAGAAATCATTCTGTCATTTTTGAGATTGTATCCCAGTACTGCCTTTTGCACTCTCTTGTTGACTATAAAGGCCACACCATTTTTTCTGCGAGATTCCTGGCCACAGTAGTAGATATAATGGTCTTCTGAGTTAAATTCGCCCATTCCTGTCCACTTAAGTTCACTGATTCCTAAGATATCGATGTTCAGTCTTGCCATCTCATTTTTGACCACGTCAAGCTTACCTTGATTCATAGATCTTACATTCCAGGTTCCTGTGCAATATTGTTCTTTGCAGCATCGGACTTTCCTTTCACCATCAGACACATCCACAACTGAGCATCCTTTCGGCTTTGGCCCAGCCGCTTCACTCTTTCTGGGGTTACTTGTACTTGCCCTCTGCTCTTCCTCAGTAGCATATTGGACACCTTCTGACCTGAGGGGCTCATCTTCCGGCGTCATATCTTTTAGCCTTTTGTTACTGTCCATGGGGTTTTCTTGGCAAAGATACTGGAGTGGGTTGCCATTTCCTTCTCCAATGGAGATTACTACACCTCTGCTGGACAAGATTGTTGGCTGCACAAATAAAGCCAGGCTTAGATACCTTCTATCTGACACCAGTCCTAAAATTACTTACCAAGTTGCTAGATTCTGTGTGTTGATCATGAGGATATGGAAACTGTACTATAACTAGGCTCAGATTTGAACTCTGTTCATGTTATGCGTTTTGTTTTTATTTATGTAAGAAGGTTTTTAAATATAATTTTCATGTATACAGATGGTCTAGTGACTGTAATAAATACATACATACATACATGTTACAGTGAACAAATGTACAGCCTGCGTGTATGTGAGAATACCTGTTTGTAAGAAAGAGCCAGTTTGGTGTAGTGGTTAAGTGTGCGGACTCTAATCTGGGAGAACCGGGTTTGATTCCCCACTCCTCCACTTGCACCTGCTGATGTGACCTTGGGTCAGTCACAAGCTTTGGCACAGCTGTCCTTGAAAAAGAGCAGTTTCTGTCAGAGCTCTCTCAGCTCCACCTACCTCACAGGGTGTCTGTTGTAGGGAGGGGGAGGGAAAGGAGTTTGTAAGCCGCTCTGAGACTCCAAGTGAAGGGTGGGGTATAAATCCAATCTCTTCTTCTTTTTCTTCTTCTCAACAAATGAAACAGAGCACCAAATAAAACTGGGGACCAGTTCCTGGGTAAATGTGCGGTTTCAGTCATACTTCCAGCTGTACATGCGTTGATCATAACTAGGTTTGCCAAAGGCCAGAGATCTCCTGTCCCCAGTAGCTGTTGCTGGCTGGCACTCCATTGGCCAATGGGGGGGAGGGAATCACCATCAGAGACAGCATGATGTCACTTCCGGGAAGAACGTGGAAAGTAGCGAAAACACTATGGTAAAACCACAGAGTTTTCGGTGATTCCTAGAGAGGACTGGCATCACTTCCGGGGTTTCCCCAGAAGTGGTGTCCTGCTATTGCTGATGGTACCGCCCCCCAGCTTCCCACAAGGCCCACCAGACCCCCTAAACTTAACATGAGAATTATCCAACAAATGTAGAAGGAACAATCAAGTGTATACTGTCCACAGACTGTACTGTTGTTCCCTGTCACTCGTGTGCAGGGCTAGAGAGTAGGGGAGAGGGGATCCGGGATTACCGTGCTAGTGCAGCCAGCAAAGCAGGCGGATAAGTAGGTGATCCCGTCGGCCCCACAGACTGGAGTGAAGGAATCAGTTTGGCATTTACAGTCCTTATTGCAGGCGGTAGTTGGGGCCAAGGCCGAGGCTGGCGCAGAGCTGAAAGAGAAAGGAGGAAATCAAGACTGGGTAAGAAGAACAAACAGCCGGCCCATCCCCCCCTCAACTCTCCTCTTCTAAGCAATTGTTTAGGGCAAGGAATGGGTTAGAATTAGACAAGCATATGGAGCAGAGGTCCATCAGTGGCTGTTAGCCACAAGGTATAGATAGGGACTCTCAGTCTGGGGCAAGTGATGCTCTGTCTTCTTGGTGCTTGGGGGGGGGGCTTCTAGTGTCCTGGCCCCACTGCTGGACCTCCTGATGGCCCCTGGTATTTCTGGCCACTGTGTGACCCAGAGTGTTGGGCTGGATGGGCCACTGGCCTGATTCAACATTGGTTTCTCTTATGTTCTTATCGGAACCCTCAGTCAGGTGCAAGTGATGCTCTGTATTCTTGGTGCTTGGGGGTGGTGGCAAGAGTGGGAGGGCTCCTAGTGTCCTGGCCCCACTGCTGGACCTCCTGATGGCCCGTGGTATTTCTGGCCACTGTGTGACACAAAGTGTTGGACTGGATGGGCCGCTGGCCTGATCCAACATTGGCTTCTCTTATGTTCTTATGGGAACTCTCGGTCTGGGGCAGGTGACGCTCTGTATTCTTGGTGCTTGGGGGGGGGCAACAGTGGGAGGGCTCCTAGTGTCCTGGCCCCACCGGTGGACCTCTGGATGGCCCCTGGTGTTTTCGGCCAGTGTGACAGAGTGCTGAACTGGATGGGCCATTGGCCTGATCCAACATTGGCTTCTCTTATGTTCTTATAGGAACTCTCGGTTTGAGGCAAGTGATGCACTGTGTTCTTGGTGCTTGGGGGGGGGGCAACAGTGGGAGGGCTCCTAATGTTCTGGCCCCACCAGTGGACCTCCTGATGGCCCCTGGTGTTTTCGGCCACTGTGTGACAGAGTGTTGGACTGGATGGGCCACTGGTCTGATCCAACATTGGCTTCTCTTATGTTCTTATGAGTTGTGCAGGAGACTGACTGGGGTTCTTTAGTTACTTCACGTATTGCCATCGCACACTCTTGCTTTAAAAACACCAGGGGTGCATTGTAAAAATGAAAAAAAAATATTCAAATACAGTTAATGAGACATCCACACAGCAAGGGTTCCTTTCGCCACTTCTCTAAATGCAGAGCCATTCACAGCACCAATGGAGCAGCTGCACAGTCAGCTGAGCGGTGCCTTCCCACCCTGTACCAGCCATTTTGCCTGGACAAAAGCTGCCTGCACCTTTCCCTTTAAACGTTTGCAACAAAAAGGGCCAGAGGGAGACTTAGAAAATAAAGCTGGTTATTCAGACAAACGTATGACCGTATTATGATACAAAGCAATGGCAATTAATAATTTTTATAAAGCCCCCCCCCCAAGCCCTCTGGTGGCATGGGGGTGGGAACGGTGGGCCATAAGGAGCTGACAGAAGGAACATGATGCTGATGTGGGTGCGGAGATTTCCATGCAGGCAGCCCTGCAAAACATGCTTGGACAATGTACTTCCAAAAAAATATCCTAGCAAAGTTTGATTGGGGAAACATTGGAGCAAAGCGAGGAAAAACATGGAAAGTGGATGATTAAAGGATAACGTAGTACGGGTACTCGAAAACAACGAGCCCTCTAGTTTGGGAGTAAAGGCAAAGAGAAATGCCCATCTGGCAGAACAGTCCCGATCTGGCCTGCAGGCCCTGTTCCACCCTGCCTTCCAAGGTTTCCCCAGCACCTGGAGAGGCTTTTCTCTCTCAATCCTGGGTAACCCGCCACCACCACCTGTCCTTTGTAGGAACTGCCTGCCAGAAGGGTCAGGACTCCCAGCTTTCCTTCCAAGTTCTGAGGCCTTGCCTCTGTGTCTCCCACTGCCCACCACGGGGAGCTTTTACTGCCTTGTGCACCCTCGGAGGAATAGCCATTTGACAACTGATTTCCTTCCCCCTGGCACTCTTTTTAAAATAGCATGTCCAAGACGGTGCAAGTCTAAAGCACTACCAGCATCGAAAGTTTAAAGTATTTATTAAAAAGAAAATGTTCACAAGCATACTTGTAGCATAGCACCAGACTGAGAAAGGAATTCAAGAGCAATGGGTAAAACACAGTTCCTCTGTTCCTCTCTCTAGGCATGCCCCATTTAATGTTAAATCATAGGACAGGCTCCTTAGTTTAGGAAGTTATAGATCTCTACAGAGTTCTCCTACCTTGAAGCTTCCTCTAGCTCTTCAGGCCAGCACATGGTTAATGGCCACCTCCTCCAGACTCAGCACCAAAGAGACTTTCCTCCTTGCTCCCCTGAGTTTTATCACCTATCTTTTCCCCACTCACTGACCAGGTCAACCCGGGTCAAAGAGGCTTTTCCTGGAGATCTCCAGGAGTTCCTTCCTGAAGTTTCTCTAGTATTTAACACCTCCAAATCTCTGTTCCCTGCTTGAAGGGGACCCTCCTATCATCTCTAGCTAGACCCACTAGCATTTCTGAAGAGGTAGCTGAGGTGATCCTGGAAAGCAATTGAACTGACTTCTCCCTCCCAGCCTGTTATCTGCCCAGGGGGGGGGGGGGTTTAAAAAAAAAAGGGAAGGTTTTGCTCATCTCTGCTTCCAAAGGAAAAAAATACATTTCTTCACAGTCCATATGGAAACAGAATTGGAGGTCAAATGGGGATGCTTTTGCTCTGGTCTCTGTTGATACTCACGTGTTTCCATAGGGAACAGTAACGCCAGCCACGGGCCCCGTGTCGCAGCCCAGGAAGAGGAAAGAGACGTAGCATGCCGTGGACACCAGGTTGACGAGCATGGCCATCCTGATGGCTCCGAGGGCAGAGAGGCTCAGCTTCTTGACCAAGAGGCCCCCCAGGAAGATGCCCAGACAGGCGCATGGAATCGCTGTCATGCCTGCAAAAAGGAGCAGAGAGTTCTGAAGGAGTGGCTTTCGTCGCTGGCTTCATCAATACACACAGGAAAACTGGTTTCTAGTCCTCAAGGAGGCGATGAAAAGCTTACAAGTGTGCTTACAGTGCATAGAAGATGGATGACTGGCTAAATAAGATTCCCAGAGCTTTTGGGATTCAGTGTACCTCAAGACACACAAAACCAGTATCCTGAAAAGCAAAATCGCACATGGGTGCCAAAATTCGGCCTTTATCAATGCATGTATGAATACATCTTGAATGTGTGCTGGATAGGCCTGTAGCTACAGCGGGGCTTATGGGGCCCCTGCCCCCTTTCTCAAAGGCACAGCCCCACAAGAATTCCTCCTGTAAATGTTTCTTCCCAATCATTTTAAAACATTTTTTAAAAGGCGTGCACATCTTTAAGCAGAGTGGGGTGCTGCAGTTGACTAATTCCCGCACTGAGCAAGGAGGTTGGAGTAGGTGACCTCTAGGATCCCTTCTAACTGTATGTCAAGAAACTGGTCTCCTTTAACAGAGTTGTTATGCCTAAGTGTTCACTTTCTTGACTACAGAAGTCTTCACCCCCACCTGCCGGCTTGTTCTCAGAATTGTTGCTCAGGCTGGCAGAAGCTGAGAACTTGCAGCAGGCTGGCAGAAGCTGAGAACTTGCAGCAGCTGAGAACTGTCATCTAAAGTGGTCGACAGTTTGCAGTTTAGAGATCTATCCTGGTGACAGCTTTCTGTTGACTAAATGGCTTTTAGTTCTGCACTGAGAGCTTCAGCCCCACCAGAAAAAAAATTGCCCCACAAGCCACAGAATCCCGGCTACGGGCTTACACAGAAGGGCAACCTTTCCCAAACCACAGGAATCTGCTGCCTGAGAGACCTTAGTGTGGTGTAGTGGTTAGTGCCGGACTAGACGAGGGGAAAGTGAAGTCCAGATCTCCACCCAGCCCCCAAGGACTAACTGGACGGTACGCTGGGAGTTTATTTCTTGCTATATTCATACCTTGCTTTTCTCCCCAACGGGGACTCAAAGAAACATTGTGAAGTCATGGTGTGATTCTATCAGACTGTGAATCTGATCTCGTCACCTCGGGTTTTTACGTGGACAGGGGTCCCTGCAACAGTGCCAAAGTCCCAGGGAATGAGCAAGGATGCGTGGCACAGCAGACGGCCGAAGGATGCTTTGGAAAGACAATGGCACCGTAAGGGTGGGGGACTGTTCCCAAACAGCTGTAGGCCGCTGTCCTCCCCTCCACGCTCTCCCCAGCTGCCCTTCCAAATGGAGATCTGCCAGATTGCAGGGGAGGGGTGAGGCCCTTTGGCAGCCAGAACGGGCGAGCGGGGAGAAGTGCCAGGCAATCAAACAAAGCACCCAGATGTTCGCGGCTGCCCGCATTTGCGCAGCGACTTCCCATATCCCCAGCCTGCACGCGTATGGCGGGTGGGCGATATCGAGCGGGTTCTGAGCCAATTTTTGTCGATAACGCTCATCCATATGCTCAGGCTAAAGTTGATTGTAAGAGCTCCTGCTCTCTAGCAGGGATAACATGCTGCCGTGTCTCCTATCAGAGATGGACATCTGATCTGGGTCACGAGATGCCTGCAGATGCATCGTATCCCCTCCCTGGGCCTCTGTATCTGCACTGCGAAGAGGGGCCGTAGCTGGAACAACCGGCTGCTTTGGAACGCAAAGGAAAGAACTGAGTTGTCCTGTCCCCCCCCCACCCCTCGCTTTCTTAATCAAAGAGATACAATCTCCCAGTTTGCATAAATGACGCCAGATAAGGACATCTGCATACACACTCACTTCTTTCTCAAAATCATTCTACTTCTATTGATCCCGGCAGGGCTTTTTTTGTAGAAAAAGCCCAGCAGGAACTCATTAGCATAATAGGCCACACCCAACAGCAGGAACTCATTAGCATATTAGGCTACACCCCCTGACAGCACAGCTCATTGGCACACTAGGCCACACCCCCATGTTACCAGAAGTGTGGTCATCCAGCCACACCCACCTTTTGCTTCTTATTCTGTTTACCTTGTTTGTTGTCCAAACCCAGGGCCTTTTTTTGTAGCAGGAACTCCTTTGCATGTTAGGCCACACACCCCTAATGTAGCCAATCCTAATGAGTTTCTGCTGTTGGGTGTGGCCTATTATGCTAATGAGTTCCTGCTGGGCGTGGCCAACTTGGGAGCCAGCCGGAACTCCGTTCCTGTGCGTTCCTGCCCAAAAATAGCCCTGGATCCCGGCAATGAATGGCAGTGGTCAAGCCCTGCCTTATAATAATAATTATCGTATGGCAGTGTGTCTGGTATAGCCAGGAGATCCTAAGATTGTCTGGCAGGCTTAAGTTCTAGCTCATTTAGCATTATGCACCACTAGGTGGCGAGCGAGACTTATTTTTGGGGGGCTGAGAGAGCTCTGAAAGAGTTGTGACTGACCCAAGGTCCCTCGGCGGGCTTCAAGTGGACGAGTGCAGGATCGAACCCGGTTCTCCAGACTAGAGTCCTTCCCTCTTAACCACTACACCACGCTGGCTCTCTCTCTGCCCTGTAAGAGCATGAGAAAATCCCAAGAGTCCGGACCAAACTTCTATCTCCCCCGGTATCCTCTTTCTAACAGGGGCCAGCCAAAGTCTCAGAAAGCTCACTAGCAGAGTATGACGGTGACACATTTACTTTCTCCTTTCTCCAACCATCTGCTATGGAGAGAGAGGCTGTCTCTAAACATCCTGGTTGGCTGTCCCAGTGGACAGAACTATTCTCTCGATACATGTTCCTAACCCTTTTAAAAAAGTCATAGAAGGGCGTGGCCATCCCTACCAGATGAGTTCCATAAGTTAATTGAGTAGGATGCAACAAAATCATTCCCTGAGCACAGCTTGCGATCAAAGCCTAGGTCTCCCTTTTGGAGCCAGTGGTTCCGAGTACATTAAAGGGTAAAGGTAAAGGTGTCCCTTGCTCGAAAGCCAGTCAAATCCGACTCTAGGGTTGCGGTGCTCATCTCCATTTCAAAGCCGAAGAGCCAGCGCTGTCCGAAGACGTTTCTGTGGTCATGTGGCCGGCATGACTAAAAACCAAGGCGCACGGAACGCTGTGACCTTCCCACCGAAGTGGCACCTATTTATCTACTTGCAATGTCTTGCTTTCGAACGGCTAGGTTGGCAGGAGCTGGAACTAGAGACGGGAGCTCCCTCCGTCATGCGGCACACTCGGGTCTCAAACTGCTGAACTACCGACCTTCCACAGCCTGCAGTTCAGCGTCTTAACCACTCGAGCCACCGCAGCTCCACATTAAAGGGACATGTGCCAAATTTGTACTGCCACGTGTCCTTTGGATGTGACGAGGCCCCCATGATGGTTGAGGTCTGAACCTGGGCATTGGAACTATGCGTGTTAGGGGACGTCAAGTCGCCACCTTAGGAATTAACGACCTCCGAAACATCCCGTCATTAACAGCCTTGCTCAGGTCTTGCAAACTGAAGGTCGTGGCTTTTTAAATCAAGTCCATCCCTCTCATGTTGGGCCTTCCTCTTTGCCTGCTGCCTTCCACTTTTCCTAGAATCACTGGCTTTCCCAGTGAGTTTTGTCTTCTCACGATGAGACCAAAGTACGATAGCCTCAGTTGGGTCATTTTCACTTTGAGGGGGAATTCAGGCTTGAGCTGCTTGACCTGTGTACCAACTGATGCCGCATCCCTTTGTCGTCCTTATCTATGACCTTGCTAGCTAGCTGTCTATGTAGCGTCTCCCCATGTATTACCCGCGGGATAGGTTTCGATTCCCAGCTTTGGCTGGGACTCTACGCTCAAACGTGGCAAATTGTTTTATCTAGTGGAACGTTGTGATTTTGGACCCCAGCACCAGGAATGGGTGGAAGTAGGGGATATTCGGGCCCCTAGATTGTTGCGCAAGTTCCACCGGGAATTTCCAGACAAGCCGGGACCCCTCCTGGACTAACCGGGAGACCTCCCGGACTGAGTGGGAGGGCTGGTTTTTGGGTGGGCAGAATGTCAGCTATGCTGCCAGGATGTTTATGGGCGAGAGTGCAGCTGCTTGACCTGTGTACCAACTGTTGCCGTATTCCTTTGTCCTTCTTATCTATGACCTTGCTGGCTAGCTGTCTGTGTAGCGTCTCCCCATCGGGGTCCCTACCCTCCCTAAGCCTTGTACTCTTTGGGCTCCACGCCCAAAATCTCCACGAAATCTCCAGCCTGGAGCTGGGGACCCTAACTCACATACTTGAATGGAAAAGGGCATTTGTGAGTGAGAAAATTTGCCCCCTGGACAAAGGGCAGCTCCTTGGTTTCTGCACAGATTGGCGACCAGGTGTCATGGGCCAGCCAGCGACCTCCTCCTCTGAGGATGAGGAAATGGAAGGATCAGGCCCTGCACTAGTGGAATGCTCACCAGGGCAGCTGGATCTAGAAGCAGATCCAGCAAAAGAAGTGTCAGAAAGCGAGAGTTGCTTGTTCTGGCAGGAGACAAAATAAGTGGGACAGAGATCAGAGTGTCAGTCACCTCCAGCTTCTCCTGAATCAGCAGTGCATAGAAGATGAAGAGAGTGCTTAACAGCCTGAGAGAGACGAAGAAGTGCCTGTTTAATTGCACAGCGGTGTTCAGTGCTAGTTCCTGGAGTAGAGTCATTCCAGGATCAGGAATGACAAGCCGGTATTGAGCAACACCTGGGCTTCAGGGGATGAGTCAGCTAATGAGGCAGATAAAAGGAAAATGCAGAACAAGGCTTGACGTGGAAGCAACCTTGCTTGCCACCCCCTCTGTGAGGTGCCTCACTCAGTCAACAGATTACTGTGGGCAGTGATCACTCATAGGAACATCAGCGACTTCAAATTTAGCCAATGACGGCACTAGTGACGATTATATCGCTATGTAATGTATTGTACTAGTTATGCCAGTAGAGACGCAGGGTAAGTTATGTCCAGATGAAATTTGTGCCGTGCAGAATACGTAAGTTAGCCAATGACAACAATTCTATCAATTTTAGACCAAACCTATTTACCACCCTGTCCTTCGATGAGTGATCTAGGAATTGGGTGTGCCCAGCTATCTGTGCATTCAAGCCAGCTCTAGCATCCAATCCACCAGACTCTGTTCTCACATTAAAGTCTCCACACAATATAACATGTGTTTTTGGATATTGAAAAAGTAGGGTTTCCAGCAAATCAGTTAAAATGTCCCAAATGTGCCCTCTTTCCTGGTACTGTGAACTCCTTGGAGGGATATACACCTTGACACACAAAAGGCTTCCAATGTGAAAGCCTTTAACAAACAGGGTTGGGAAGTTACTAGACTCTGTAGACCAGAAGATTGTATTCCTACTATCCAATAGGTAAAGGTAAAGGTTCCCCTTGCTTGAAAGCCAGTCGAATCCGACTCTAGGGTTGCGGTGCTCATCTCCGTTTCAAAGCCGAAGAGCCAGAGCTGTCCGAAGACGTTTCTGTGGTCATGTGGCCGGCATGATTAAACACCAAGGCACACGGAACGCTGTTACCTTCCCACCGAAGTGCTACCTATTTATCTACTTGCAATTTCTTGCTTTCGAACTGCTAGGTTGGCAGGAGCTGGAACTAGAGACGGGAGCTCACTCCATCATGTGGCACCCGGGTCTCGAACTGCTGAACTACTGACCTTCCACAGCCTGCAGTTCAGTGTTCTACAAAGTCTGTTCGCCTTTGCAGCAAAGAAGTTAAGGTCTGAGAGTGTATCGTTGAGGGCGGTTTCTTGAAAATGTAGTCTATTATGTTTCAATTTGTTTTAATCACAAATGTTTATATTCTAGTTTTACGGTTTTATTTATCACTGTATTTTCTGGCTTTTCAACTTGTAATGGCCTATCCAGGGGTCATTTTGTACAAAAAGAGGTGCAGGAGCTCATTAGCATAACTCATTAGCATAACTTATTTGCATATGCCACATCCCCTGACATCGCCAGAAGTGTGTCAGAAGGCAACACCCACCGCTCAGGCTCCACTGGAATGTTTGGATTGCTAGCTATTGGGGGGGGGGGGAGGAAACATGCAGATCTGTCCTCGCAGAGGAGGGAGAGCTTTTACCTGAATAAAACTTGGTCTTAAAGGTGCCACTGGACTGTTTTGGAATGGGGAGCCGGGGGGGGGGACTCTGCAGCTTACCTGGCTGCTTCTTGCTGTGACTGAGGGCTGCTGGGAGCAGGGGGCGGGGCTTTTTGCATGTGCCCGCCCCCTGGGCTCTTTACTGCCGGAGCTCCGCTCCTGTGCGCTCCTGCAGGAAATGACCCCTGCCTATGGCTATATACAAATAAACTATTTGACTGGCTGGCTGGCTGACGGATGACTACCTGGCCTTGCTGCGTTGCACCCTGTCCTGTTAACCTGTGCTTGCTTTTCCAGTTAGAAACCCAGACCCCATCTCCTGCCCTGGCTTCCAAACTTTGGACCCTGGGCTCCAAACCTTCCTGTTCCCCCGACTTTTGGACGGAACCTTTGGCTCCCTGTCTCTGTACCGGTTTGTCGACCTTGCTCTTATATCTTGCCTTGATTGATTGTGATTGTATTTGTGTATCCCGGAGACCCCAGGTAGAGTAAAAGTGCCAAGCTCTGCCTGAACAGACATTTGCAGTGATTGATTGTGACTGTGTTTGTGCCTCCCGGAGGCCTTGTGCAGAGTACAAACGTGACACTGGGAAGGCGAAGCACGGCTCACCAGTGGCTCACTAAAAGCACTGGCTTTGATACCCGCCTGCCACCCGTCAGACCACGATCCGTGCACGGCAGGCTCCGTTGGGATGACGGATGGAGCGCCGAGGAGGCCTGCTCCGGATACTCACCCAGCAGCTGATTAGCCGACGACGTTGTGAGATTGAATTGCTGTTCCAGATATTTCCCGAGGAAGGCTGCAAAGCCGGCGACCACGGCGATCTCCATGCACGCAGCCAGGACGATGCAGGTGAATACGGGGTTGGAGAGCAAGTGCTTGGTTACTTTCGGGATCACTGGAAGGGGGGAAGAAAAAGGAGAAGGGTCTTTTTTCTCTAGTGGGGCCCTTTTCTTCAGCTTTCTCAGGTGCCCTGCAGCCCCCCCCCATATGAGCACCTGATCCCCACACCTCAATACTGATTTCTTAAGAACATAAAAACATAAGCGAAGCCAATGTTGGATCAGGCCAGTGGCCCATCTAGTCCAACACTCTGGGTGCATTCAGACGGGGCGTTTCAGCCGGCATAAACTGTACCGGTTGGAACCGGTGCAGTTTATGCCGGCTGAAACGCGATCACACTTACCTCCCTCACAGCGGAGACCATCACTGTATGCCCGTTCACATGCTGCGGGCGTCGGCGGTTTTTTTTTTAAACTCAGATTGAGCATGCACATAGGCAGCCATCCACAGAATGGCGATCTTTGCGCATGCTCAAAACACCCCGTATTACATTTAAAGTTTAAAGGTAAGGACTTACCTTTAAAGTTTAAAGCCCAAACTGGCCTCCCTGAAGTCCCGGACTCCTCTGGAAAGTTAAACTAAGGGCCTTTTCTTTTTTTAAAAAAAACAAAAAACAAACGTCGGGGCGAAGCTTCGCCCAAGCACACATCAGCAACCTTTTAAAAAAAAAAATGGCGGGCGAAAATCGGAAGCCTCAGGCTTCCGAACGGAAGTTGTTTCTCAACGGTGGAGAGCGATCAGACGGTGGGTAAACCGATTACAACCGTTGTACTCAGGATACCACCACTTGGGACCTAGTGGCAGAGTACAATGGTTTAAAGGGCTTTGCAACGGTTAGGGACGGAAGGCAAATGTTCTACGTGTGAATGCCAGTAAGTTCACCGATTGCAACCGGCACCTATTCCGTTGCAAATGCCTCGTCTGACCGCACCCTCTGTGTCACACAGTGGCCAAAAAGACCAGGTGCCATCAGGAGGTCCAGCAGTGGGGCCAGGACACTAGAAGCCCTCCCACTCTTGCCCCCCCCCCAAGCACCAAGTATACAGAGCATCCCTTGCCCCAGACAGAGAGTCCCTATCTATACCTTGTGGCTAATAGCCACTGATGGACCTCTGCTCCATATGCTTATCTAATTCCCTCTTGAAGCCATCCATGCTTGTAGCTGCCACCACCTTCTGTGGCAGTGAATTCCATGTGTTCATCACTCTTTGGGTGAAGAATCAATTAAAAACAATCAATTAAAACCTTTATAAAATGGCCTTTACCAAGAGCAGTTCACGACAATGCAGGTAATACATTCTGATGCAATTAAAAACACTTTTTAAAACAATATCCAACCCAACAAGCCAATCCCATACCTGGCATATAAATAATCCACCAGAGAGCCAATAAATCCTTCAAACTGATAATGAAGAAGAGAAGAAGAGATTGGATGAATACCCCGCCCTTCACTACCTGAAGGAGTCTCAGAGCAGTTTACAATCTCCTTTCCCTTCCCCTCCCCTGTGAAGTAGGTGGGGCTGAGAGAGCTCTTCCAAGGACTGCTCGTGAGAGCACGGCTCTGAGAGAACTTGTGACTGCCCCAAGGTCACAGCAGCAGCTGCATGTGGAGGAAGAGTGGGGACTCAAACCCGGTTCTCCCAGATTAGAGTCCGCGCTCCTAACCACTACACCAGACTGGCTCTCTGTGAAGACTCTGTGAAAGTGGGTTTACAGTCCTCCCCCAAAATAGATAGGGTGCTATGTACACTGCAAACGCTAGCCCGTTCTGGAGTTTAGGGGTCACCACAGAAAAGACCCTAAAGTGAGCCACCTCTGGCCTTACCTCCCTTCAGAAGGGAGCAAGCGGGAGAAAACTGCTGGAAGGAGCCAGACTGGGTGATAATTTATGTAAGCCAGTCACTTGGCTTTTCTGATGGACTTAGAACATCACCAAGAGTTCCTCAAAGGCCAATGTTGTCATCCCAGTAAAGGATGAATGTACCACACTTTGTTGTTCAGTCGCACAGTCGAGTCCGACTCTTTGCGACCCCATGGACAAGATCTCGCCAGGCCCTCCTGTTTTCCGCCATCCTCTGAAGTTTGCTCAATTTCATGTTCGTTGCATCTATGACACTGTCTAACCATCTCATCCTTTGCCGTCCCCATCTTCTTTGACCTTCAATCTTTCCCAGCATCAGGGTCTTCTCCAGTGAGTGCTCCCTTCTCATTGGGTAGCCAAAGTATTTTAGCTTCAGTTTCATTATCTGGCCTTCCAGGGAACAGTCAGGGTTGATTTCTTGTAGGATTGACTGATTTGATCTCCTTGCAGTCCAAGGGACTCTCAAGAGCCTTCTCCAGCACCATAGTTCAAAAGAATCTATTCTTCGGCACTCGGCCTTCCTTATAGTCCAACTCTCACAGCCATACATGATTCCTGGGAATACCATTGCTTTGACCGTGCGGACTTTTGTTGGCAGGGTGATGTCTCTACTTTTTATCATGCTGTTTAGGTTCGCCATCGCTTTCCTCCCAAGGAGCAGGTGTCTTTTAATTTCATGGCTGCTGTCACAGTCTGCGGTGATCTGGGATCCCAGGAACGTGAAGTCTGTCACTACTTCCACGACTTAGTACCACGCTTAGGGTGACAAAAATACTTTGAACTGACCCCAGGGTTACCAGGCCATAGCCGACAAGGCCCAGGAGGAAATGGAGGCGGGGCCTGATGCACCGACATCACTTCTGATGATAACAGGGAGGTAACATGGTGGATGTTCTAGCGTTTGACAAAACCTTTCAGATTTCTTGCAACCTCTTCACCACAGCAGGAAGAAAAGCCAGGCAACCCCAGTCCTGGTTTCAATCACATTCTGATGAACTGTAAGAGGCTACTCTATATTCTTATCATTTTGCACAGCATTAGCCAGAGTCGGTTTTTGCTGCCTGTCTGAATCATAGTCAAGGGACAGAATACTTGCCCATAGTAATCACCCCCCCCCCACCCCAGCCATCCGCAAGTCTGGAATGTTGTAGAGACCGCCATCTAGTGGCCACCCAACACATTACAAGTACACTTTCAGGTGCTGGTTCAGACACACTGATAATTCAGGGCCAAACTCTCTGAGATGCCTGGGAGTGACGTGAATCAGGTCGCACGCCGACCTTTTCTTCCAAACAGCAGGCGCGTGAGACCCACTCCAGGCCGGGACCAAGAAAAGGGGCAGACAGCTGTCAACTCCCGACGTCATTTCCCCCAACCTCATATAGCCCTCCGGAGTTGGCTATTTACTGCACTGAGATGATCATCCGGCAAACAAAGGCTTAAGGGTAAAGGTAAAGGTTTCCCTTGCTTGAAAGGCAGTCGAGTCCGACTCCAGGGTTGCGGTGCTCATCTCCGTTTCAAAGCCGAAGAGCCAGCGCTGTCCGCAGACGTTTCCGTGGTCATGTGGCCGGCATGACTAAACACCAAGGTGCATGGAACGCTGTTACCTTCCCACCGAAGTATTTATCTACTTGCAATTTCTTGCTTTCGAACTGCTAGGTTGGCAGGAGCTGGAACTAGAGATGGGCTTGGCATTGGGGAAATACTCCCCATCTGCATTTTCCATGCCCAGCCTGCAATTTCTCAGCACTTTCCCTCTTACATGGGGCTAGTTCTGGTTTCGGGACCCTTTTGGGGAAAGAAGAAGAAAATCCTAGGAACTGGTTATGGTACGCTTGCCAGACCCAACCCCCCAGTAGAGGTGGGGGTCCCCAGCACCAGACCCTGCCCACCAGCTACCAACAAACAGTACAGCACACAGCAAAAAATAGCAAGGAATAGCAAAAAACAACTGTGAGCTGAATTACCCGCAAAAGTATATCCAAAAGGAGACTTCAACAAAGTGAAATGCACATGTAATCAGTAATGGGAAAATACAGACGTCCACAGGATCCATAGAAGGAAAAAACAAAGTCCAGAGTAGATGTCCAACACATTTCTGAGCATAACTCATTTGCATAGGCCACGCCCCCTGACATCACCGGAAGTGTGTCAGAAGGCAACACCCACCGCTCAGGGTCCACTGGTCTGTTTTGGATTGCTAGCTATTGGGGGGGGGGGATGTGCAGATCTGCCCTCGCAGAGGAGGGAGAGCTTGTACCTGAATAAAACTTGGTCTTAAAGGTGCCACTGGACTGTTTTGGATGGGGGGGGGGCTCTGCAATTTACCTGGCTGCTTCTTGCTCTGACTGAGGGCTGCTGGGAGCCGGGGGCGGGGCTTGCTGCATGTGCCCGCCCCCTGGGCTCTTTACTGCCGGAGCTCCGCTCCTGTGCGCTCCTGCAGGAAATGACCCCTGCCTGTGACTATCATAATAACCCTCCTTACTGCTTAGCTTTTGGGAAATACCTGACACGTTCATGTGCCTGAACATCAGCGATGGCAAAGTCCTCTAAACTCACGCTGGGTCCAGCCAGAAGTCACAAATCGCGCGGTGGTGGTCGGAGGGGGTGGGGGGGTGGGGGAGGAAACCCATTTGTGTGCGTCTCACTCCAAGCCCTTTCCGAGGCCGCCCCCTTTATTCGCGCAGCTCAGACACGAATTCCTCTTTGTTTTCAAGACGGGCGCGAGGAAGAGAGATTGCCGCTCAGAATGAATCTTTTCGCTAATGACTCAGACCGTGGGCCTTCTCCTTGGAGAAGCATTTTAATTATTCTGGAGATAGCACAGCTGGGGTGAGATGGAATGCTAATACTGGCGAGGAGAGAGGCGTCACGCCTTCCTACCTGGTGACTAACTCCGCTGCGGATTAAACGTGAAAATCGTTACGTTTGAAAACGATCTCTCTGGTGATGCTGAAGCCTCACTGGGGCCCGTTGGCTGCTGGAAATAGCTCCCCCCCCCCCACCTGCAGTTTTTGGGAATCTGCAGACATTTTCCTCCCGTGTCGAGTATTTTTCTGAAATTAAGATATTTGTCTCACTGACCAGGACCCTGCGTGTTGGAAATGTGGTGAATTAGGGAAAAGGGTTCGAGTCTGGGGTGGGGCTGTGGCTCAGTGGAAGAGCCTCTGCTTGGCATGCAGAAGGCCCCAGGT